CATATAATTAAGTTATTATTTTGATTTTTATGGCTTTTGATATAATATCTTTAAAATATGAATGTAAAATTTATATGTTTTTTATTTCAGAAATATGATAGGGTAAGTGTAGCATGATTTTTGTAACTTTTCAAATGTCCTTTTATAAATCTAAACTCTGAATGGCTATATTTTTTCAAGAAAAATTTATGACTATGTTTATGCTGTTAATGGAAATCAATTGATGCTTCTTTCCATTACTTAGGATGATGATTATATTGTGTTATTGTTATGATATATATATTTTCTATGTGCAGGACAAATACAAAGTGTACAATCTTTGTTCTGAGAGGCTGTATGATGCTTCATTATTTGAAGGGAAGGTGAGTTATTTAAATGATTGCACTTTAATCTCTCTGTGCTAAATGATTTTTTCTGAGATTTGGTGTGTGTAATACTTTGCAATATTGAAGAATTAGAAATTTTGTTATTTAGATGTGTCTGAGAATTGACAGTCAGTCTTAGGATTTGAACGATATTTGTGCTGTGGGATCTTTTCAAAATTATGCTGTTTGGATGAGAGTGAGAGTTTTCGAATTAATATTTTCTAGCATTCCTTTAAGCCTTTTAAGTATTCACAGATTATGGATTAACTTAGTTGCCTGAATTCTTCAAAATTATTTATCCTTGATGCTAGACTTCTTTTTTCATGTTCACATTGATATTCTTTCATTTAGGAAGAATGTGACATTCACTGGAATAATTACACTGTTTGTAAGTATGTCACTGTGTTATAATGTCTTAACCTCTGATCTAGTGGGGAATACATCGTAAGTCATGCATTCTGTGTCAGCCGAGAATGAAGAGATGTAAGAGTTCTTATTCACATGTTTAGGTGGATGTTTCTTAGATTCTGGAAGAACGTGAGAGGCAGCACCCCATGGTGTCCTGTTGATTTTGGAAAACATGAATGGCATTCACTCTTCAATGTCGGTCTTTATTCCACATGGGATCGAAATGCCTTTTAAAAACCCATAAAAGGAGATGAGTCACTCACTACAAAACTTGAGGTTGAGCTTCAGAAGCTAGTGAGTTGGGCTGAAAAGTTGTTGAATATGGTCTATTGATGTTACTAATATTATTTAGGCTTGAAACATATGTTAGCCAATCACGTTTGAGTTGGGCTGAAAAGTTGTTGAATATGGTCTATTGATGTTACTAATATTATTCAGGCTTGAAACATATGTTAGCCAATCACGTTTGTGCTAGAGCATGTTGTGACGCCTTGATTTGTCTTATTACACCCTTGTGAGAATGTCGATTATGCTTATTATATGTAACTTACAGTTTAGGATTTCATCAGGGATAACCGAGATACCTTTATTCTGCATTAAATAGAAATATGATTAATGAAGCCCACATAAGAGTTAAAGATATTTATTTTGAACTTTAGATTTAGTCTAGTAGCATGGATCCAAAAGTTGTTGGCTATGGTACTCGGTTTGAGGCATTACACTACCTTGAGCATTATTTATATTTCTTTTTGAGTTCTAACGTTTTATAATTGGATGAATATTTGTGATCTAACTTTTTAACTTGATATATCACGTCCACATTCAGGTGGCCAGTTTCCCATTCGATGATCATAACTGCCCGCCAATTCAGTTGATCATATCATTTTGCCAAAGTGCTTATGCATGGTTGAAGGAGGATATTGAGAATGTTGTGGTTGTTCACTGTAAGGCTGGTATGGCAAGGACGGGGTTGATGATTTCTAGCCTACTTCTCTACTTGAAAGTAAGTTATTCCAACTATGACATTGAGAGATATCTGATTGAGTTTGAGGAAAACTTTGGAGATTGTTTGGTTCCCATCTCTATGACTCACTTCTGGACTTGCATATTATTTGTTATCAGTTCTTTCCAACTGCTGAGGAGTGCATGGACTTCTACAACCAAAAGAGATGTGTGGACGGAAAGGGGCTTGTTCTACCAAGTCAAATTGTGAGCCTATTGTTTGCCGTTAAATCTATTTTGAAGAGCTCTAATTTGAGTTTTTCTTAAATCTCTGTGGAGCTGCTTTTGGATCTAATCTGACTGATATTTCCTTGAATTTTGCTTTTTCTAGAGATATGTCAAATATTTTGAACGAATCTTAACTTACTTCAATGGAGAAAACCAACCTGGGCGTAGGTATGTTACTAGCTGGTTCTCTTTCATCTATATTTCATTTTCAGTGTTATTGACACTGTAGAATCATATCCTACAGATGCATGCTTAGGGGCTTTCGGCTTCACAGATGCCCTTATTGGATCAGGCCTTCAATTACTGTCTCTGATCATAATGGTGTGTTATTGGCTCGTCTAATTAATTCCTGTTGTACAGTTGATGACCTCCCATGCTGCCACTGGAAGTCATCATAATTCTTTTCCATGTATTCTTGTTGAAGTTAAAATTTTATTTTATCCTCCTATAAAAGTAGTATCTTTTCTTTAATGGACTGCATTTGGCTTCTGCTACCTGGTTATAACATTTTCATGATAACCAGCAGCTGGGTGTTCTATTTTTCTGTTATTTTCTTTCCCCCCTTAAATGCAACCAGAAAGTTTTTAATGTGATAGTGACTACCAAATTAAAATTTTGAGATCTTTCTTTTTTTCTCCAAATGTAGGGGTTCTCTTTTCCACAAAAAAACATCCCAGAACCAAGGATCTGTCGGTAGGTTTTATGCATACTAACACAAGCACAGATTTTACACAGTAAAAATTTTCATTATCCAGCTTTTACTTATATTTTGTATATGTTTTTCTGCAGCCAGAAGACTTCTGGTTTACTGCACCGAAAAAAGGGGTTATGGTCTTTGCCCTTCCAGGAGAACCCGGCCTGACAGAGTTGGCTGGTGACTTTAAAATCCATTTTCATGACCGCCAAGGAGATTTCTACTGGTTTGTAATCTAGTTCTATCCCTCACCCACAATTAATCTCTTTTTTATGCTTTTCAACATGAAGCTGAAAGCAGTTACTTGTTCCTTTCTATTATTCTCAGCTGGCTAAACACCACAATGATGGAAAATCGAAAAATTCTTCTCACCAGTGATCTTGATGGGTTTGACAAGGTAGACATTGAATGCCATCATGCATGCTAATTTAATGTATTTAAATTATTTTCGTTCCAAAAAGTAGTTTCTATCTGCTTTCACTATTCTGTTGCTAGCCTTACAATAT